GATTGCTTACAAGGCATGCAGCGTTTGCCTGGCACCTTAACTGAAAACAGACCTGTCCTTCGTGCTCAAACAAGGTATGCGTTCGTACAGCAACCCAAGGAAATCAACATGGGTGGCTTCACAAGTTTTTCGTTTCCGTGGTGTTTCTTTATCCTCCTTAATTGTGAAAATAAATGTTTTTCATTATATTTTGTTGTTTTGATCAGCCAAGGGAAAAAGAAAAGTTACTGAAGTACCAAGCGATGATACACAGCCAGGAATCGACCTGGTAAGGAAGGAGTCATTAACCGGTTTGGAATCTTTCCGAACAGTGGAGTACACTGAATTTCAGAGTATGACTTTCTTACAGTCTCTGGGGAAGGAAGGTTTGATAGAAGGTACTGAAAGAAGAATTCAAATAAAAAAGCTTACAAGTCTAGAGAGCAAAACAACTGAAAATAAGGTTACACAAAGAATTAAGGTTGAATTCCAAGATGAACTGTTCAAGAATAGGCCAAAATATTCTTGTAACAGCTTATCACCGGGAGTAGAAAATAATTTCATTTTAACATTACGTGATTGTGATTGTTTCCCGCATTTTAAGGGTTGTAATGATGAAAACAACCTTGAATGTAAACCTCCTGGTGGATGTGTGCATGTAGCAGAAAATTCCTCAAAGAAAGAAAATCTTAAGAATCTTGCCAAGAAGAGTGATGGAAATAATATTCCTCAACTTTTACAAGCTGAAGAAAACTTAGTAGGAGTAGATAAATTATTGCCTGAAGAAAATAATGTATACCAAAGTACGAAAAATGTCTTGCTTTCCTCCCTTCCAAGTGGGAAAAAAAAATGTTCAGTGGAGGAGAGCAGCATCGGGAGAAAAACCAAGAAAAAGATGAAGTTGTCTGAAAAGCGAGCTGAAACAGCTACTGAAATGAGCTTCTCTACTGTATACACCAAGTCTGTGTTACAAGAAAGCCATATGTGTGCTGAATATAAAGGAACGAGGACTTCAGAGACTAAAAAAGCCGCTAATAAAGTTTCAAAGAAAGTAAACCATAGCACACCATTTCCAATGGATCATTCTTTAAGCCACCCAGAAACACAAGGGAAAAAAACAAACCCGGAACATTATGTAAGTGCCAAGTCTCAGAAAACCCTTGCCCCACTTTTGAAAGTAGAAGCAAAAACTGCTTCAGAGCCCTCGATGTGTAAAACTGTGGAGCCAAAAGAACACTTCACGCCAGTGAAAAGCACAGTAGTGACGTCACCTAGTGACACCTCCAAGTTTTCTGATTACCATCATATTGAAATATCATCCCAGGAAGAGTTGGGGAACCAAGCTGAAGAATTAATGTTAAGCTGTCGTAGAACAATACCAATGACTGGTAAAAGAACTTGGCCTTGTTACTCATGTGCTAGAATATCTGCCCGATGCTGGAAAAAGACCGCCTTGCCAAAATCAGATCACTTTATTTCTGGGTCTGGGGAAAGTTTTAGTCAAGATGATTTTCTTAAACAGTCAACAAATCCAACTCACTTAACTGATTCCAACGTATTATTACAAAGTTCCAGAACAGAAGAAACCAACACTGGTTCTTCAAGTGAAGAAAAAGTAGATTCTGATGTAAATAGTTTGCCTTCCGTTTCTACAGTAGAACCTACTGTAATGGTTTTAAAGGAGCCTACAATTTGTGATGGTGATAAAGTGAAACTAGAGGATCTGAGCAGCAGTGGGCCAGAGGTAGTTTCGAATACTTCTGAAGATATTCACTTAACTAATGTGACTCAAAGCTTGACAGGAAGTAAAAAAAAGAATAAAGGAAATTTCGCAAAACCTAATTTGACACTGGCTTCCCATGAAGGCCAGGAAGCACATAATTCTACGGGCAAAACTATTAATCGAAAATCATGTAACAGTAAGCAAACACTTGTGGTTCCAGATTTGGTTAAAATATTGAACACAGGACGACTGACTAATTTTAAAATTCCTTTACTTAAGAATAAAGTAGGAAAAAGAAAAATAAATATCAAGTCATCAGAGAGAGAAGCTTACAGTCCTCTAGAACTTCTTGACAATTTGTCTGTAGCAGAGGTCAGACAGCATAGGAGTAAAGAAAACGTCTCCACAGTCACTTCAGGACCTCAGTCTGTGAGCATACAAAATAGTGTGACTCCCATGCAAGCAAGTTCTGACTCGCTCTACAGTAATGATTCCTGTAGTGTTTCTTCAGGCTTCTCAAAGCAAAGTAATAATAATCACATCTCTGAACTAGGAAATACTGTATCTAACAAGGAAACTGTGGAAGATAATCCTTTTTCTTGTAATCCTGGATGTATAGATAAAAGCACTGCCTTCTGTTCGAATGAACAAGACACATTTGAACCAGTTTCCTCTGAAGATAGTGGTGAAAAAATGACTAAGAGCTTTTCAGAAATTAAAGTGGAGTTTCCAGATATTCTTAAAGCATATGAAGATGATGTCCTCTTAATTGATGTGATTCAAGATGACCCAGACCTCTTTGGAATGTCCAATGAAGGAGAGCTAGCTTTTACTTCAGAGGGGCCCGTGATAAGCCTGGAGCCCAGTGTTTCTGAAGCGCATCAGACAGACTCCAAGCACATGGAACCTCCAGGAAAAACAGAACCCAGTGGTGACTTGAGGTACGCATGTTCAAGTATGACCTTTGGTGCAAATTTTTTGTTGGGGTTTCAAAAGTTTTAGACTCCTAGGTATCACTAATTTATCAGTGATAATAGAAGCTTTATTATTTTTACTTAACCCAACCCATTTTTAAATGGATATTAAGCCTGAGACCCCAAAACGTATTATACTAAAATGTACAGTAGAAATAAAGGGCTCTAAATATCTTGGAAAATGTTAATGGAGCAGATTAAATTACGGAAATTATTTCTTTCAAAAGTTACTTAAATTTATTTTTATGTCATTTTTTTGAATGAGCATAATATGTATATGCTTCAGCCAGCTTACTTATTAAGATGAGTGCTATATATTTTAATCCGTTATGTCTTGTTAGATTAAAAAAAATCATTTTTCAGGACACCAAGTAATCTTGGAAAGTTTTTAAAAAGTAAATAGGACTTTAAAGTATGCAAAGTTAGTGTTTATTTTTAGATAGGTAGTACTTTGAAAGCAATGGTGATGGTTTGAAAATTAAGATTAATTCCAGATAAGGCTTGTTTAATGAGGCAGCTTTAAATGGAGTCATGAAGGAGTTTAATTTAGTATGGTTGGCCCTAGTTTATTTAATATCATGTCATATTTTACCTAACTTTTACCATTCTTCAAGCCCTAATAGTATGTAATAATACTTTAATGTTGGAATGTTTTGTGAACCTACGAGGGGTACCCCCAAAAACCGGAATTTTGCTGGGCAGAGTGGAGCTTTCATAGTATGCATCTTTCCTGCTAGTTGAGCATCGAGCAACTCGCTCTGAGTTAGTGCACCCAGCGGTGTCACCTGGGAAGGTTCTCTCTGGTGAGAGTGAATTTTTTCCTAAAAGCAGTTTCTCTTGAACCTCGTTTTTGGTGATGGCCAATTCCAGAAAACAGCATGCAGCTATGAAATTTTATTTACTGCTTGGGAAAAATGCCACAAAAACTGTTGTGATGTTGAACACAGATTACAAGGACAGTGTGCTATGGGAAGAAGTCAAGTATAAGAGTGATTTTCTCATTTCCAAAAGGTGTGTGTCAATCAATGACAGACCTTGTTCTGGATGCCCATCAGAACGAATGAAATTGTCGACTCGTAGTGCAATTGGAGTTTATTCTACCAGGTCAGACTGTTAATCAGGCTTTCTGTGTAGAGATTCTGAAAAGGTTGCATAACCGTGGCAAAGAAGGCCTGATTTGTGGCACATGGTGGACTGTTTTTGCCACCACGACAATGCACCTGCTCACGCAGCCATCTTAGTGTGCCAGTTTTTGGTAAAAAACAGCATGCCTCTCTTGCTCCTCACGCCTTACTCACCTGACCTTGCTCAGTGCAACTTCTTTTTGTTCCCGAGAATGCAGAAGGACATGAAAGGACAGCAGTTTGACAACATAGCTGAAGAAAAAAATGAGGGAGGTGCTGTCAGCCATTTGAACAGATGATTTTGAAAAATGTTTCCAAGAATGGAATCACAGATTTGACAAATATATTCAGTGTAATGGAGAGTACCCTGAAGTTGATAAGTTGGTTTGTAAAAAAAATTTAAACGCATAGCTTTGAAGGAAAAAATTCCGGTTTTTGGGGTGTACTCGTTCATGTTTAAAAGAAACAAAAATGCTTTTCACTAAAATTCAAAGGTACATAATTTCATTGTCTCTGGTATTTATAGATTTTTGTTACCTTTAAATTATACTTCATCACCAAATAGGGTGCTTTTTATTTGCCAAGTAACAGAAACAAATGCTTTGCATATATTTACAGTCCCACCAGCAAGGGTTGAGCTTTTCATTTTCTCCTCAGTCTCTCTAGCATTTGTCCCAGGGCAGAAGTGGGCATATACTGGCTGAGGGCCCAGGTAGCTGCCCAGGCAATCTAGGTCTGGGGTTCATGGAGTGTGCCCTGGCTTGGAGAGACAGCAACCACACAAGCCTGCCATGAGCTAAGAGCCCTGGGTAGGAGAGAGGACGTGTCAGGTGTCTTGTGGACACATTTACACTTACCACTTCTCTTCTGGCCCCTCCCACTGTCTCTGGTCTTGGAAAGTTCAGCTTACTTAATTATCGCTGAGTCATTTTTCAAGATTGCTGGCACGTGAGTTTTTCTCTTGATGTTTTTCTCCTATTTGTTGAAGAAGGATTCTGTGTGATCGGTTTACTAAACTCGAACTGGAAGCCTAGCTTAATTCTTTGAAATTAAGAAATAAACAAATAAAAAACAGTTGCTGTACTTATTTATGAATGAAACTTTAAAAATAACTGTATCTATTGGGTCATGTAATCCTGTTCATACTGTACCTTAATTACTCATATGAATGTTTCTTCCTCCCAGTTCTCACTGCTATTATCTTAGATTATTGTAATAGGCACCTAGTTATTTTTCAGAACTCTGCCTTAGTGGTCTTTAGAGATAGAAATTCATCTGGGAATAACTGTTTGCATAGCTTCAGTGACCTGCAGTCACCCAATGTTCTTGGTAAGACTTTAAAGACTCTTTAGTGGGTCTGCATCCATTCCCTTTTTGATAGCTATGATGTCAAACTAACTTGAACTTATGGTGAGTTTGAACTTTATCCTAGAGCAAGTAAGATAGAGAAATGTTATCTGATTTACATGTTTGAATTCATAGCTCTACTGTGGAGAATAACTGTATGGAGCTATTTTAACATTCGCCCCATAGGACATAGTGACTTCAAATACAGAAATGGGAGGACTGTGGAGAATATGGTTGGATATGGAAGATAATTGAGAAATAGTGATTAATCAGATGGTAAGGCAGAGGGAGGAGTGCTTTTATTTCTGAGAAAGACCAATTATCCTCCTTTTTTTTTTTTTTTCAGATGCAAAGGGAAGATTCAGGGGAGGGTAGAGGTCCTGAAGAGGCCTTTGAGGTACTGACATGAAAATATTCTGACAAACAACTAGGTATAAATCACAGAGAAGTCTGGACTGAGGAAAGGGATTGTGTGGGTGTGGGTGTGTGTGTGGCTGTGGCTGTGCGCGCGCATGCGTGCGTACTTGCTTTCTGTTTATATTATTATTATTTCTCTACTCTTTTAAACAGATGAGAATTTACACAAATTTTTTGCAGCCCCTTTATGTACATCTCTGATTGTTGGTAAGCTATATGTTGGTGGAAATACTTAATATTTTTTCAAGAAATAGTGTACACAAAATGTTTTTCTCTTTTTTAGCTAGGAAATAGTCTTGAATCAATTAGTAGTTGTAGAGCTGTGAAGTATATTTAACAAAACACATTTATAAATAGGTGTTATATTTTATTCTGTGTATTTTATTTATTTTAATGAAAAGAATAATTTTATTAGGGGTTCATACAACACTTAACACAATCCATACATATATCCATTGTGTCAAGCACATTTGTTGCCATCATTCTCAAAACATTTGCTTTCTACTTGAGCCCTTGGTATCAGTTCCTCATTTTTCCCCTCCCTCCCTGCTCCCCCTTCTCTCATGAACTCTTGATAATTTATAAATTATTATTATTATTTTGTCATATCTTACACAGTCCGACATGTCCCTTCACCCACTTTTCTGTTGTCCATCCTCCAGGGAGGAGGTTATATGTAGATCCTTGTGATCGGTTCCCCCTTTACACCAAGAGTATCTTATATTTGAGTGCCTGCTATATATCAGCTTCTCATTGAGCCTATGCTATTGGCTCTAAGGGCATTTTATCTCATTTAATCCTCACAATAACCTGAGAGGTAGGTGGTATTCTAATTTACAGACAAGATTAGATTTGAAGTTGTTGCATAATTTTGTCACACATTATATACAGTAAATGACAACAGTATTTGATCTCAAATTGGTGTAACTGATCTCTGTAGCCTTGACCTCTAGATGGTATGATGTCTTTAGAGGTTTTTTTAAAAAACAAAAACCCTCAACCTCTTGCTCTCAAGATGTCTCCTTTGACACCCAAGACGTATTTATATATGGTTGAAAGTAGAGGTTAAACACTATCTTGTGTTGGTGTGATGCTTTATATTTTTTTCAATGTTTGATGGATCTCATTTGAGTGCTGTCTGAGTAACAAATTGATTGACTACACTCCCTGACTTCGAGGTAGTGTGTTGAGTCCTGGGTCCCAGTAGAGTATTTTGCCCTGGAGGACTTGAGCTTCTGCTTACCCGCTGCTAAAGCTAGTATTGTATAGTATTTTGAGAGATACATAGTTTTGCTTGGAATAGCATGTTTAAGCACTGTTGACTTCATAATAGAGACTTTCCTGTACCGGACCAGGAATTGAGCAAGTCAGACATCTGTTCTTCCTTGCTAGCAGGTAAGTTTGGACATTTTTGGAATATGCAATATTGAAATATCTTGTGTTTTAATCGTTATTCACGCCTAGTCAATAACTATATTAGGCTTTATCTACAAAGGACAAATAATTGATCTCAGCAATTTCAATAGTCTTATTTTTAAAATGAATTCTATATTTACCTTAACCACATTTTAAATCAATGTCTTTTAACTTTTTTGATAGCAGCTATTCATAATTTTAATTACCTGCATTTTTACTTCCTAGTATCCCTGGTAATGTGGTGGGTTAATTAATAAGCATTGAGCTGCTAACTGCAAGGCTTGTGGTTCAAAACCCACTAGCCATTCCATGGAAGAAATGCAAGGCTGTCTGGTCCCATAACGATTTAGTGTCTTGGAAACCCCAGGGAACAGTTCTATTTTCCTATAAGATCACAATGAATCAGAATTAATGGCTGAGGGTTTGGGGTTTACTTCACTGGAACTAATTCAATATGAAAGTTGATTTTACTTTGACTTTCAAGTGTTAATATATCGAAAATACATTGAAAACAGCTGGACATGATAAGATAGATTCTAAATTTATTTACCTTGGAAGGTCTTTTAGTTTTATATTACTGTCAATTTATTTTTTTATAAATAGTGAGGACTTAGTGTATAACTTCCCGAAAACTCTACTTCAAACATGTCCTATTGGAGCCTCTGTATTCTTAACTCATTTTTAGAGCAATCTTTGAATGACTTGATTATTTTGTTATTTAAAGTTTCTTCAGCCGATTATTGTTTGTTTGCAGCAAATGAACTAAAGGATGAATCAAAAAATGTGAATGTTCCCTTAGTAGACATTACCAATGAGACCTCTGTAAATGAGCAACTGGAAAACATCAGTGAACATACCACGGGTTCAGACTTGGATGAGAAGGTACAAAGGAATCTTTCGTCGTATTTTTGTGTTCCTTAGTTTAAATCATGATTTTGCAGAAATTCAGCTTACCAGTGACAATGTAACTCATTTTTATTGGGCAAAAGAATTACTTCTCTCTGTTCATAGACTATGTGGCATGATGTTTTGCATACACACAGTATAAGCATGGTTTCCCTTATCTGAGGAAATAGGAATACTGTTTATAACTTATATGTTTAGCTTTTTTGGTATCTGAAGTTTATCTCAAATCTTCTGTAAGCTTTTCTAAACAAAATGGTGCCAGGTGTTTTTAGTGAAATGTCTTTAGGGTCTGTTGTTTTCGCTGCCATAGAAAACAGCATGGATAGCTCTCTTGTTTCCTTCACATCTCTACTCAGACTTCATGTTCTCAGAAAGGACTCCACCAGCCATGTAACCTAATACCGCACACAGTTCTCTTCTTGCAAAATTTTATATTCCCTTCTCTTGTATTTGTCATGATCTAACATACCACATATTTTACTTATTTGTCTTTGTCTCCTCCTAATAGAATATAAACTCCATGAAGACTGGGGTGTATGTCCATTTTTGTTTACTCCTGAATCCGTGGCACCTGGAGCAGTGGCTGAAATGGAGTAATAACACAAATAATTGTTAAATGGATTATTGAATATGAGCCTCATTTTAAAATGGTCTTTTAAATACTAGAAGTGCGCTGCAGTGCAGTGAGTTATTTAATATGATTCTTATAGCCATAGCCTTTAATACTCCCACCAAATAAACTTTTTTTTCCTGATGGGTTTGAGTAAGAAGTTGGGGGAAGAAACTGATAGAATTATGAGGTTTGCCTCAGTGTTGTTAAATAGGGTTCATTGTGATTGGCATCCTGCTGGGTATGAAATGAGCCATTTCAAAAGTGGAAGAGGGATATCATTACCAGCAGTAGAGGGGAGCCAGAAGTGGTGGAGTGCCTTGATTCTAAATGCAGCTGTGACACCAAGGGAATGGCAAAGGAGCCACAGAAGCAGTAGAACCAGAGCCAAAGCATGGGACAGACCAGTGGGCTTTTCAGCCTACAGAGCACATAAAACTGAGAGCTTTGGGGTGGGAGGCTGGCTTGTGGAATATGGTGCCTCTGAGCACTTCATGGGGAAGCTGAGTTTACTGACACACACAGTCGGAGCTGAGTGCTTTCAGGTGAGACCTCTAGCAGAGTAGCGTGCATTTATTGGTAGCCCTAAAAGAACTTTGTGACATTGCCCAGGCAAGGCCATGCCAAGAAGCTAAGCAAGGGGATCTGCTGGGCCAATTCCATTCAAGGCAGAGGCCAACTTAGAAAGTTAAGGTGACTAGTTTTGTGGACTCCTAGCGGGTAAGAGGAAATCTTGGATAGATTTTCTCAAAATACACAGGACAATTATGGGGCTTACTATGAAGACATTTTATTGCAAGCTGCGTTGGTGAGGAAAGCCAGGAAAGTTGTGACAAGGGGTTCCCCCACACACCCATTTTGACAACACACTACTTATTCATTGAGGACTTAGCAAGAGAGCTATCCTGTGAGAATCTCTTACTCCATTCACTTCACAACCCTAATGTTGCCCCTTCAGACTCTGCCTCCAAAACTCACAGTACGTTGAAAAGGAATGCCATTTGAGTCCCTTGAAGATGCCAAAACCGAGGTGTGGACATAGTCTTTGGGAAGGTTACAGAATCCCACCATCAGAAGTTCTGAAGTATAGACCCAGATGGAGTGTATGTTGAGAAACAATGGCTTTACATTTTGATGGTGTTCATTTAAAAGGTTTCTGGGTTTTCATAGCAGTACTTCCTGACTGACTTTGTATTCTCCTTAAACTCTCTGGGGGAAGACTTGACTGATTCATTCCTTCAAGGGCCAAACTTAGTAAATGTCTACCTAAGTTCACAAAATATGTAACACTGTACATATTTAAAGAGCATAGACCTTTAAAATACTAGCTCTTTAAAAACAATCTATAAAATTGTTTACACATTATACTCACTCCATTAACTGCCGTTGAGTCATTTCCTTGTAGTCAGCATCCCAACACGTAGTAGCCCCCGACTAGCACCTGAGCAGCCTTTTATGCTTCACTGATGCCACCTCCTGGCAGGTATAAGTGAGAGTTGGCTACCTGGACAAAGAGGGGTGGGTGAGTGGCCAACAGCAGCAACATTTTAAGTCAAGGGCAGAGACTGGACTTGTCAATTACGACCTCAGATGAAGCTCTAGATTGTCAATTCTCATGAGGACAGAGCAAGGCTGGGCTACCCAGCGAGAACCAGGTAATAGTAGGGCTGGTGGGGGTCTCAGCGGGAAGCATGTACCCTCTCCTGTATGCACCTAGGCCCTCCTGTTCATAGACAAGGGTCCAACCACCCTGGACAAAGCCACCAAGGGTGTTTGGGGGTTGTTGAGGGGATGAGCCAGGGTGACTCAACCTGAAATGTAGAGGAAAACACCCTGAGGATGGGAAGTAGGGCAATGTGTGAGCCACCCTGAATGTGGAGGATGATGGTCCTCCCGTGTAGGTGGCAGTAGGAACCACACCTTCCTGAAGCAAATGGGGGCAGGGCAACACAGCAAATGACCTTAGCAGGGGACCAGCAGAACATTCACAGTACGGGAGGGGGGGGGGTGAAATGATGTGTGGTCATCCTCTGTATTTGCATAATGCTGATTTTCACAATGGCCTGGTCTTTGGAGCCTAACCATGCCTATACGTGAGGAGTAGTGTACATCTGTTTCTCCCTATCAAGTCTTTTTTTTTTTAATGTTTTTCTTTTTTCTTTTTAATCATTTTATTAGGGGCTCATACAACTCTTACTTATCACATTCCATACATACATCAATTGTATAAAGCGCATTTGTACATTCATTGCCCTCATCATTCTCAAAGCATTTCCTCTCCACTTACGCCCCCGGCATTAGGTCCTCATTTTTCCCCTCCCCGCTCCCCCCTCCCTCATGAGCCCTTGATAATTTATAAATTGTTATTTTGTCATATCTTGCCCTGTCCGACGTCTCCCTTCACCCACTTTTCGGTTGTCGGTCCCCCAGGGAGGAGGTCACATATAGTTCCTTGTAATCGGTTCCCTCTTTCCAACCCACTCTCCCTCCACCCTCCCAGTATCGCCACTCACTCCACCCTCTCCAGTCTTTAGGCTAGTGTTGTCTGACAAATATGTTTAAAACCTCAAATTACATTAGTTTCTTGTTTGTCACTTATCCTTTAAAGAGACGTAACACTAAGCAATCATGTCTGTTCTCAAGTCGTCAGCATTTTCAGTGCTCTTCACATTCATGTTTCCATCCGATACCATTTCTCTTCAACCCAAAGGACAGCCTTTGACACATCCTGACAGTGTGTGTGTGCTTTCAGTATTTGTATACCTGAAATGGTCAGTATTTTGCGTTCATTTCTGAAAAATATATTCAATGACTATTAAATCTAGTGTGATAGGCTTTTTTGGTTTTTCTTCTGTGATTTTTGTCTTTTTTTATCTCTGGATATGCATAGCATATTTGCTCAATATATTTACTCGCTGTCATATGTTGCCATACTTTTTTCAATTTTTTTTGTTTTGACTTGGTTTAAAAGCCTTGAAGAAAGTTTCATTTTCTATTTAATCAAGTCTATCACTTTTCTTTTGTAGTTTCTCAGTGATAAGCCATATTTTTAGAAATATTTATGTTCTGTTTAAGTTTTTTCTCCTGATCCATCCAAGGTTTCTGTGTGCAAGGGGAAGCCAGCCCCTAGCACGTCATTACAGGTCCAGTAGGTGCAATTGCACAGCGATAATAAGTAAAGATTATAGTAAAGTCATAGCCTGAGAGATACAAGAGAAATATTGAAATAATGGAGTCAGGCACAATTCATGGTAGCAATGCTCACCTCATCCCTAAGAACTATTAGCAGTAGGGTGTAAACCCCACCTACAGGAACCAAGCTAATGGTCGCAAGCCTCAGGGAGAAGTAGTCCATTGTCCCCAGCAGCAGGGAGCAGGCCCATCCCTGTGGTAGGGTGAGATAGTAGTCTGGCAGCGATTGCCTCGAGATAAATAATTTTTATCATTAGCTGCAAACAGTGTCCTAAATCTAACATATTTGGGCGAGACGATTTGGGAGAAATCTTTCTGTTTCCCACAATTCTCCCTTCCATTTTATATATAAGATTCAAAAGAGCCATATGAGCGACATGGTTATTTTCTATATATTAAAAGTTGTCGAGGCAAAACTTCATGATCCAGTTAATATAGCCAAAAATTCAGGCTTATAGAAAACGTTTTTAATCCAGGTGCTGGGGACAAAGTCTCCCTTTGCAATCTTCTATTGGAGGAAGGTATGAGAGGGCTTGGATGCTGCGGCGGGAGGAAATGGAGCCAATAGAGTCTGCTTCTATAGGGAGATTGAATTAACCATGTGCTCGCTTTAAGGCAGCACAGCTTTAAGGGGAGAAACTGTGGAAAAGATAAATTACCGCAGGAAAATGTACTCGGACTATATCTCCAACTACCAGAGTGGCAGATTGACTACCGTCTGGAAACTGGCCTTCCAGATTCCCTCCATACCAGTCAGGGAATAAGTCCCAGTTTTATTTCCCTCAGTGCTAGTATCCCACGTTTCCCCTTTCTGCATTATGTTTAAGATTTAATACTGCCATGGAGGCAACATGGTCTCTCTCCTTATCTCTTAGCTTCCTATGGAAGCGACATGAGACTGCGAGCATCAAAAATATGATGATAAGGAATACAGTCAGACTGGAACTGAAGCTATGTGAGATACTTTGAGCCGAAGCTCGAGGATCCAACCCTTCCATGCCATTCACCAACTACTTAATCACATCAGAGCCAGGAAATGCCTCGAGTCTGTCTTTGAATGTATAGAAAATATCCTTTTTAAGCTGATCAACATCTAATGAAATGTTTCCCTTAAACCCTTGCAAATGTTTCCTAATCAAATCCCAATCATGCAGTGTTACATTATATAGGTAAG